AGCGCTTGTGTTGTTTACCAAGAAAATGCAGCCCTCTTGGTTATTATGAAATGGTAAACAAATTGTTGAGATTTATTTATTTGATGTGTTTAACATTTGATTAATGCAATTTTCTGCCTTTTCAGACTATTAATTAAAAGACACACAGCATCATCAATGGTGATTGCAAGAACTACTACAATCCCTGCGGTTTTTCCTATTGGTAAATGCGTTCTGGTCGTGACCAAGGGTGGTCTCCCAAATCAGCCGGGAATATGGTTAGTCATTTTCAATTTTATATCTTTGTTCGTCGACATTATATGTTAAAATTTTTCACCACATTATTTTGCTGCACAGCACCCTGAATGCGGCAAAACAGTTGCTCCCAACCCTCAAGTCCTTTATGGGGACCAAGTTGACAGGCACAACAACAAAAACCTTTTCTACTGGTATACTGTGGCTCTGAGCGCTTGTATTGTTTACCAAGAAAATGCAGCCCTGTTGGTTTTTATTTCTGTATCGCATCGCGGTGAGTTTCTATTTCTTCCCTGCCAGCCACGGCTCACCACTTTCCCCTGAAAATCAAACGATTTACAAACACATTCACAACTTTTTAGTCATCTCACCTACACACTTACAATTTTTTTTTCAACTGTCAACGAAATTTCTCTTTTTTAGAGCTGCGTCGCTGATAAGAATTCGTACTCTAATAAGAATTCTATGCGTTAGAGCGAGCAAGTTAGAAACATCGAAGTTTTCATGGCAGTATACATACTGTGAAGAAATGTCACTTTGCGAAAATTTTGAAGGTAAGAATACGTATTTAACAATTTTATTGGATTATAATGTAATTTTTCTTTTAGATTGCAAAACACCAGCGACTTCGCTACAATCTAAAGGTATATATTGAGATTTTATATATTATTCCACCGTCACTGGTTGGACATTTGTACAGAAAAAATGTTCTTTATTGTTTAAATTTAAGTATAAAATACTGAACAATTCTACATTTTGATAAAGCTACACCTAATTGACT